AGCCCTGGGAATTTCCTGCTATAAATAAAATGACAGGACCATTTTTTGTATCACGGTTTAATCTGAATTATTTCAAACGTCCCTTGATAACTTGAATTTCACAGCAAAATTTGTACAAGGAGTTTACCTGTGGATTTCCACATTGCCCAATCAGGAAATGTCTTCAGAATTAACAAACGGCCGCTGTCAACTAGTTTCACTGCCATTATATTGCTGATAACCTTTTTCCACTTTCTGAACACATAGGTATCGAAAACAAAAGTGAACAAGTTGTAATTTAGAATGAGGAATTGTGACGTCTAAGGGGATTCCCAGAGCCTCGCTGTCAGCACCAGCTCTTAAAAGCTCTTGAAATGCAGACTGCATCACAGCAGCTAGTACACTGACCGAGTGTTGGCAACTGAAGCGCTGGAATTCTGCTTTGTATTAATCGTAATAGACATATATATATAAAAAAAAACTGTGATAGAAAATGAAACCAGAATCAAGAAAGTCTTCGATCAAGAAGAACGAAAATCAAAAATTATCAATAAAAGGTACGTTTTAAATTACATACCTAAGCGTAGTTTTTCCTATCCTAGTGTGAATTTAAGGGAAAGGGTGTTTTTATTGTACTTCTCACAACAGGCAATTCTTCAGATCGCAAAAAAGAATGTATTTGATTTGTATCTAGATGCTATAGTAATTACCTACTAGTGTCTAAGTATCGTTCTTGAAAACAAGTCAGAACTTGTTTTGACACCCGGTAACTGAATGTTTTTGCGCAGTGATACTGCTGCAGTCTCGGGATTCTTTGAGTGTAATTTAAGAGTTGTTAAATTGAGTTGTATAGTTATTGAGAATGTTTTTTTTCCCCTTTTTTTTCAGATCAGAAAGCCATCGCAGAATGTGCTCTTCATCTCCGGAAGATAGGAGACGTCTTCAACTTAAAGTACAAACTTCTGTACTTCTTGGAAAAAAATAATAGAACTTTTCTAAAAAAGAAGTGAAAAAATGCTTGTTGAAGAGTTTTTATTGCCAAAAACTAAAATAAAAAAATAGGGAAAATGAAGGACATAACCGACATCGAAACTATGACACAACCTTACGGAGACGGAAGAATGCTTCGGAATCCAGGGCTGGTAGCCGGTGGACCCTCGTTATGAAAGTCTGGCGATGAGATTTTCTGAGAGGTAGCCGTTAAAACCAAGACAGGATTCAGTGGATGTGTTTTACATGTTGCTTTGGAGAAAAGGAAAACGGGACACTAGAATCGTTTTCTTCCAAGTGGCACGCAAAAGAAACAACTGACGCAAAACCCTGAAAAAATGTTAAAGCCATCGAAAACTTCACTTTCCCTGCGAGTTTTCCTGTTTATTACAAAAGAGGAGACATCTTAAAAGAAGGGTTTGTGATGGACAAAGGAGGCGTTATTTTGCCAGGCTGATGTAAATGCATGTAGCCTGCAGTGACCTACACTGTGTGGTGGTCATGAAGACAAGGAGATGGAGATGGAAGGCATTTGTGAACATAACCGTTATTATATCCCCCCCAAAAAAAACAAAACAAAACAAACTAGATTAGGCCAAAGGGCATTCCTACGGTTTTTTTTCCTATTATTTCACAGCTTTTATCTGAACATTAATAATTAATAATGAATAATAATTAATTTTTCTTGTGTTTTTTAATTCTTGTTTAGAACTAAACGTCCCTTTCATATATGACACATTGGGATCTGATGTCACTAAAAATGCTCACGTTATGAAGAAAATGTAAACTGAAAATATTTGGATTTGTGGTGTGGATCATGACTGTATTCAGCCTAACTGTTCTGTAAGAGTAGTCAATTTTGAAATGTAATTTGGTTTGCATAATTGTAAAATAAAGCTTTCATCTCAAAGTAGAACTTCTCCTGTTTTGTTGGGGTTCTTTGGTTTTTCGCAGTGTTAACAGCATAAAACTAAAAAAGTGTAAGTCATATGTTTTTTCTAGAGAGAAAAAAAAATATTATTAGGACATAGGATTCTTTTTTAAAAAACAAATTAGCTAACACTGTAGACTATAAAGTGTCCTGTACAATTAACACAGATAATATCAAAGATACTTTATTGTTATTGTGGTAGTGAGTTGGTTTAGTGGGTAGCAAGGTGGTGCAGTCGTTAGTGGCCCTGCCTTACACTGCTGGGGCCCTGGGTTCAATTCCTGAAGTGCTATCTGCATGGTGTTTGTATGTTCTCCCTGTGTTTGTGTGGATTTCCTCTGGATGGTCTGATTTCCTCCTACAATCCAAAGGCAGCGTGGTAGGTTAATTGGCTTCTTGGAACATTAACCTTCATGTGTTTGTCAGTACCCTGCAATGGACTGAAGAGTCCTGTTCAGGCTGTATCCTGCCTTATGCCTGTTGCTTGCTCTGGCTCTGCTATAACCCTGAATTGGATAGAACTGTAAGAAAATGGTTGGATGAGTTGTTTTATCTTGCTGCTTGTGTTAATTTTTAGTTTTAATTATAAAATTATTAAACATGCAATCAAATATTGTGTAAATATCTGTAACATCAAAGAAGGGTAGGGCATTATAGATCACCTGTAAACCATGTGTTAGGTATTCATTAATTAAATACTACAGTTTTACAAATCATCAGCAACCACTTTACAAAAGCTATTTCGTACTAATTGACTGTTGTCGTACAATATTTAATGTTTCACTAATAAGGCTTGAATTTAACATTTACTATCACTCAAAAAGCTGTGTTATGGTGCAGAAGTACTCGGTATACAGGAGTTCTGAAATAAAGGGATACCCATATAAATCTGGTTCTATTTAATATTACAGGATTATTGATATTGTTATACTTGTTCAAAGGTGCCATCCTATTTTGAGTAATAGAATTTGTTACAGAAATTCGAGAGGAAGTTAAAACTCTAAACTTGCCCACTTCAGCTATGTTTATATATCACTTCCCCAAATTCTCTTTGCACATCTTGCACCCATTCCAATACCCCATCTTCAGCCGTGCAGCAGCTCCCTAACTCATCCCTCACAAAAAAATAAGTGTGGCTTACCATTAGGCTGCCATTTCCTCAACTAGGCGAATTATCTCATCTTGTCTCTGTATCTCAGTTATTTAGATCTGACTGAACTATGGGAAATGATAATAACTAACTAGGTTAAATGCAATGGTCACCAAGCCTGATGATGTAAGAAAGTTTATTATAAATAGTTCCTCTGTTATTTATGTTGGCCTGTTCCCTGCCCCAGTGTGCAGATGTGCAGTTCACTGGGAAGCTGGTGTGTGAGGGCGCTCCCAGTAGACTGATTGACCTCTTCCCAGGATTCCCTGTCTCACTAGTATTGCCATTCCCCCATCCTTTGGGGGGTAAAAATGCCACCATCAAAAATCCAGTGAAAAGTGTAGGCTACCTGTCTGCAAAGGAACAAGGAAAGGTTTATTTCATGCTGAAAAGAGAAGAAAAGAAACACAGTGTTTAGAAACGTTGTGTTTCTTTTCTTCTCTTTCAAGCATGGAATACATCCTTACTTGTTTCTTAGCATCTCACTTGTTTTGGTTACTTGTTTCGTTTTTTTTTTTTGCTTTGTTTTGCTTTTTCTCTGTATTTGTTCCTGGAGCAACCAAGAAGCTCAGTATGAGCATGTTGCTAAGGGCAGTAAGTAGCATAAGCCTTAGCAAATCAAATCAAATCAAAGTTTATTCATATGGCATGCAGCAGTAGTTTGCTCACAAAAATCACAAAAATTCACAAAAACACAAAAATCACAAAATTGAGGTTATTTTTTTAATGGAATAAAACTCAATGTGAGTAGAGCTGTTATGTGTCCATGATGCATGCAATATATACATGTAGTGCAGTTATGCTGAATATAGTGAGAATTGTGTCCATGTAGCCATTACAGGTGATTTGCTAAGGAGCTACAGGTTGGCTATTTAGCAGTCTTATTGCCTGGAGGTAGAAGCTGTTTCATAGTCTGTTGGACTTGGACCGAATGCTTTGAAACCGTTTAGCGGACGTTAGGAGGGAAAACAGTTTGTGACTGGGATGACTGGGGTCCTCGAGAATGGACCTGGCCTTCTTCAGACATCTAGGTGAGTAGATATCCTGGATGTTTGGTAGCTCACAGCCGTTAATGAGCTGCGCTGACTTCACCACCCTCTGCAATACTTTGCGATCCCGGGCGGAGCAGTTCCCATACCAGGCAGTGATGCAACCAGTCAGGATGCACTCAATAGTGCACCTTTAGAAGTTGGCCTGGATATGTGATGGCATGCCAAACGTCTTTAGCCTGCGGAGAAATAACAGGTGCTGCCGTGCTGTCTTGACCACAGTGTTGGTGTGGTGGGTCCAGGTTAAATCCTCTGAGATGTTAACTCCCAGGGACTTAAAGCTGCTGACCCTCTCCACTGCAGTCCCACTGATGTAAATAGGTGTGTGGTCTCCTCCCTGATGTTTCCTATAGTCCACAATCATCTCCTTAGTCTTACTGAT